TGTTTTCTTTCAGTTTAAGTATTTTCATTATTCATCCAGGACTAAGTTACTGTAATAAGAATGAAGTGTAGTTTTTCTCAATAGCATTCAGTAGCCATTGCTCTTTGTAGCGTAACCTTTAGCACACATGTTCTGGGCCCTGGACACAGTCTTCAGCTCCTGCAAGTACAGACTGTAAACTGTGGAAGTAACCACAACTGATGGGTAACACTATTATGAAGATGTAGGAATAGCCAAGAAGAATCCATCAAACCTCCAACTCCAGTGAGTTTTGAGGAATAAAAGAACAAGGCCACTATAGTGCATACTAAGATATTAGTTACTGACATTAGGAATACAAAGAAAATAAGCAGAGCAAGACTAGAATGGAGTAAGTAACTAACAGAAAAGTAAGTAGAAAGGTGTAACAATATGGAATAAAGGAGGAGATAAGGTGGCTCTAATGAAAGGTAGAATGGGAAGAGAAAAAGAATAGAGTCAGGCAACCTCCCAGCACTTAGGAGGTTCTAAACCACCATGTGCGTCATGAAAGAGCCTTTCTCCCATACAGAAATAACTGATCTAAAAAATTGTCAAGTAAGGCAATTTTAAAAATGAATGAAAGAACAGGAGCTATAAAAAATGAATTAAGAGTTGTATTTGAGCTACTCTGTCTGATTTAGTCAATATGACTTAAGCCAATCTCTGTAAGAGGCCTATGATAGGGAAGAACAAAAGGGGAGTCTCACATAACATAACATAACATAACAGTCCAAATATAAGCAGGGGGTGATGCCAGTGAACATACCAAACTGGATGGGGGAAAAAAACACATGAGGCCTCAACCCTAACAAGGAACTGTAGGTAGCTGAGGAAAGCTGGGAGCAGTAGAGGTCATCTTCCCCAGGAGAGCACACCAATTGGTTGTCCAGTGCCAAATAGTCAGCTCTGAAAGCATACATACAAGTCACATTATGTGGGCTGAGCAGGTTCTATTTAGGAACACACACACACACACACACACACACACACACACACACACACACACTCATATTCATGCAATAACAACTAGTGAAAAAAAGAGGCCATGAGTTTGAAGGACGATGGGGACGAATGAGAAGGGAGAAATGTAATTATAATTTCAAAAATTAAAAAAGTCGAGGATTGAGTAAAAATAGAAATAAATATTGATTAGATAAAAATAAAAGTTGGTTGGTGGTGATACACACCTTTTAATTCCAACACTCAGAAGGCAGAGGCAGGTGGATCTCTGAGTTCAAGGTCAGCCTGGTCTACAGAGTGAGTTCCCAGACAGCCTTCAAAACTACACAGAGAAACCTGGTCAAGAGAATTGACTTCCATCTCTTGTTTATGTAGAGGTGCAGAGTCTGTCTCAGTGCTGTCAGTCACTTGATGTGGGTTAACGTGTCTGTCTTCACTGCCCTCATTTTCCTGATCCCCTTTAATCTCTCTGATTCTGAGAATCAGGGCCAGTCTGCTAAGATTTGATGCCCAAGAGCAGCATGTGAGCCTTCCCTACCACCTATAGGTTTTTAGCTTTGAAACTCCTGTTTATAGCCCATTTTTATTCTTAAGTTCATTATTTTTTTATATAATTTTATTTATTTTTGTTTATGTGTATGGTTGTTTTATATGCACCCTGTGCATACCTGGTGCTCTCAAAGGCTAAGAGGATGATAGATTCGTTGGAACTGGTTAGATTCCCGGAACTGGAGTTTTGAGCTTCCATTTTGCTGTTGGGAATTGAACCCAGATTCAGAACTCTACAAGAACAAGTGCTTTTGCAACTATTGAGCCATCTCTCCAACCCTCAGAAATGCACTGATCTGTTTTGGTTTATTAATGTTAATACGCCTAGCAACTGAGTTGGAATGATGAGTAAGCAGCCCTTAGTCACCTGTAGAATGGAAGTCTGGGATGGCATATCGTGTTGTTTGTGAGCAATGAGGACTTGCTTTATTAACTAGGCTGAAAACTGCTTCAGGTCCTCATATGCTGTTCTTTCTCTTAAGGAGGCCTCTATGTAAATAAGCATTTGTTTTCTGGGAAGAGTTCTTGAGCACATCTTGACTGACTCTCTAGTCTTGATAACATTTCTGTTAGGTGCACCTTTCACATTGGAAGGCAATTATGGTCCATTAATGGCTTTCCTCTGGCAATATCCTTTTTTTTCTGTAATCAAAACTTTAAGTCAACCCAGTTCTGAAAATGATCTTTGTGAATTCAGAAGCTAAGTAGTAATACTTGGTGAGTTTATTTCTCTCTCCCAGGGTTGAGAGAGTAAAAAACACCCTACAATTATGTCAATTAGCCATCTGTCATCATGAATTCTTTACCTGTACAAACACTTCCAAATATAATTACTAGGTTTATGAACATGGATGCTTCTGACATTTTGAAGTATATTCCTTTAAGTTTGCATAGAGCTGGAGGAAAATTTCTTCTTTAACACTGCAAGTCTCTAGCCCTTTTAGCAGCTTACCTCTTACCCCCTCTTCAAGTTTCCTTTACTAATATTTTCCCTTCTCCCCAGGTCTCATTAGCACATATAAACCTCTCTATCCTTTGAGGTCTGGGTTATGTCTTCAGTCCTTGGCCATTCATCTCATTTGCTTCCTTCATGGTGTTGCTAATACTTTTTGTAATAATCAAAAGGAAGTAAAAACTTAGATAAATTGGAAAGTCTTTGGGGGAAATAAGATTTTGCTTTGATCTGTTTTGGCTTATTAACTTCATGAATATTTTTCACAAAAATATTTATACCCCACATTTTCTCAGGTTATATTGCATTTCATATTTTCCTTTGCTTTTCGTTTTCTCGAAGAGTTAACACTTGATACTTCTATGTCTTTGCAACTCATTGCTCACCCTCTTTCTCAACATTCAGTTATCAATTAACAATAGCTTTAGAGAAGGGGATTCAGTTGCAGTAGAAGGGATCTGTAAATCAGAAGTAGAATTGAAAGGTTGAAGTACTCTAGCACTGGGTCACTGTGGAACTTGTAGAAGTATAGCATTTCAGGTTTTACCTTGAGAGCTGCTGAATCAAGAGTGTGCATGTTAACAAGAGCCCTACATTTAGAAACTTGATCATATAATTCTTTTTTGGAGAGAGGAAGCTTTCTTGTATGTAAAGTATAGATAATACTTGTTATATTTAATAATCTTATTGCCAATATTTGACAAACCATGATTTTGCCAGTTGTGAATTTTCCTGCAATCTTGTAGCATGAGGGGGCCGGCTTGTTGGGGTTTCTATCCCGCCCGATACCCCACAGCCGACAAATCCCAAAGAGAAATCACACACAGGACTCCATAAGGTTATAAACTGATTGGCCCATTAGGTCAGGCTTCTTGTTAACTCTTATAACTTATGTTACCCCATTATCCTTATCTATGTTAGCCACATGGCTCCGTACCTTTCTCAGCTGGGCAAGTTACATGCTGCCTCTTCAGTGGTCTGCGCAGGAGTGGCTGAGGGAGCTTCTGCTTCCAGAATACTCCCAGTCTCTTTGCTCCACCTCTACTTCCTGTCTGGCTTTCCCGCCTATACTGCCTGCCTGGCCAATCAACATTTTATTAAGATACATGATTGACAGAATACAGACAATTCTCCCACACCACAATCTTGTAAAGTATGTGAAGTAGGATTATTTGTCTCTTGCTTTATAGTCTGTATTTGGAACAATGTCTGGGCACATAGTACATATATTTCTTAAGTAAATTACTGGATGATTGAGCAAGCTGTCAGACTTTTGACATTTGTGTCATGTATTTAAATGGCTATTCAGACAGATTAAGCATCATTTAAAATGACTGTTTTAGAACCGACTGAAATAGCACAAGTCTGCCGTCACAGAAAGCTTTGTTAGCTTGTGCTGCTCAGATGTCCACATTCCCTTTCTACCCACCTTGAATCCTTATTTATGCAGAATGGTTCTTATCAAAACTGTTAATAACTCCCTGTGCCATGTAGTTCAAACTTCTTAGAGACTTATACAGTTTTATTTATTTAAAAAATAAATATTAGAGAAAGTAATTTGAATCTATACATGCATAGTGCCCATCTGCTCTGTAGTTCAATGCCTCCACTGGACTCGAGGACCAGAGAAATCTCGTCTTAATTTATTTTTTTACTTTTTAGATTATTTTACTTTATTTATACGAGTGTGTTGTTTGCATGTATGTTTTACCATGTGTGTGCTTGGTGCCTGCGTAGGTTAGAAGAGAGGGCACCAGGTGCTCTGGAACTGTAGTTAAAGATGGTTGTTAGGATGCTGTGTGGGTACTGGGAAAGACCTGGGTTAGGCAGAGAAACATTGAAGCTAACTAAGCTGGTGGTTTGTTGGACCATGAATAATAATTTTATTTCTTATTTTCTGTAACTGAGGGTCTATGTCTCCTGCCACCACTCATGGTATAATAGCAGGCTCTTAGATTGAAAGTAGGAAGAAATCAAATCTCAGACCTAACATTCAGTTGAAAATCCTTAAAAACTCCCAATTTTAAGACCCATATAACAATTTGTAAATGCATATTCTATTATTTTTGAGCTGTTAATTCTGTTGCTAATTATTTTTACTTTAGTTTGCCTTATAGTTCATATCTTTTTTACATCTATTTCATTTGTTATTTCTATAGGATTCTAAATTTTTAAAGGCCTGAAGTAATTAAGCTTCCTTTCCTAATTTATATTTGTGTACAAAGAAAGGAATTTTTAAAGTTTCAAAATTTTTTAGTGTGTGTGTCTGTGTGTGTGTGCTCGCGTGTGCACTCCGGCATGTGAGTAGAGCTCAGAAAGACTTTGTTAGTTCTCTCCTGCCGTCTTCACATGAGTTTCAGGGTCTGAGTCCAGGTTGTCAGGCTTGCTCAGTAGTGCTTTATCTGCTGACTCATCTCTCATTGGCAAAAGAAAAAAAAATGAATTGAAAAAATATGTATTTATATAACATTAACAAATCATTGTATTTTTTATTTTCGTTTTTTGTTTGTTTTTAAAGGAGACACTTCTAAAGGAGGCAAAGTTGCAATTACTCAATCCAAGTTGAAACCAGATATCACTAACACTCTTGGAGATTCAGACATTGGAACACACTCACCTTTGTCCCTTGAGGATTTATCTCAGTTTGCTGTAAGTTCTCTGAATGCTGTTGATCACCACGCTTATATTGTAAACAAGAAAGTATTGACAGATATGCATCTCACTAAAGAGAGTCTGAACATTGCAAATCTTCATGAATTAGCTGACCAGAAGGTATTGTCAGCACCTTCTACTTCCTACCCACATAGAGAAAAGTTCAGTATTTTTACAGGTGGTCATGCAATAGGCCAGTCATTAACAGTTTCTGCTGTTACCCTCCAACCTGAAGACTGGGGCAACAGCAGTACCCTCTTCTTTATACTCACATAGTGAGAAACCCAGCAGGGATTTCAAGTAGAAGGCCATGAACAGTTCAATTCTTTCTGAACTGGTTGACCACAATACTGGAATACCTGTAGTATCCTCCATTTTGTACTCTCATAGAAAAAAGCCTGAAAAGCCTGGTATTTTTTATCAACAGGTTGTACCTGAAGGCCGTCTATCTGAAGAGGCTCCCCAAGCTTCAGCTCATCTTGGATTAGTTACTCCAAGTATTGGGAAATCACCTGCAATCCCTACTTCCTGTTCACAAAGAGAGAAGCCTGGTATTTTCTATCAACAAACCCTAACAGGTGGCCATTTACCTGAAGAAATTATGAAAACTTCAGCTGCTCCAAGGCCTACAGACCAGAAGTTTGATAGTCCAGCTTCACTGCCTACTTCCTACACATATGAAGGACCTAATGTTTTCTACCAACAAATGCCTAAGAGTCATTTAAGTGAAGAGACTGTGCGAGGTTCAGCTCTTCCTGGATCAGCTACCCAGAATGTTGGGATAACTGTACCATCCTTTCCTTCTCTGTCGCATGGAGAAAAATCTCATACTTTCTATTACCAGGCTTTGCCAGAAAGTTATTTGAGCCATCAGCCTTGGAAAGTTTCTGTTGCTCCTGGGCCTATTGACCAGAAGACAGGAGCAGCAGTAGGCCCTTCCACAGATAGGTATTTTACTGTTGACCAGAAGACTGGAGCAGCAGTAGGCCCTTCCACAGATAGGTATTTTACTGAAGAGACTTGGAAAGTGTCATCTGCTCCTAGGTCAGCTGGTCAGAAGCTGGAGATGTCAACGGCACACTCTAGCCCCTACTCAAAGGGAATAAAACCTGCTATTTTCTATCAGTATCCTCTGTTAGAAAGTCATCCAGGCAAAGAGCCTCTGAATGGTTCAGCTGTTTCTGGATCAGCTCAGAAGACTCAGTCCCCAACAGCAACCTCTGCTTCCCAGCCACATAAAGAGATAGCTAAAGCTTTCTACCAGCAGACATTATCAAACAGTCATCTAACTGAAGAAGCATTGCCCATTTCTGTTATTCCTGGCCGAGGTGACCAGAAGACTCCTTTACTATCGGAATTACCCTTTTCCTATTCTCACAGAGCAAAGAACCTGCCTGAAGGTGTGAAAGTTTCCACTGATTCTGGATCTACCGACATTCCAACAGTGTCTTCTAGTTCCTACCAGCACAAAAAGAAACCTACTGTTCCTTACCACCAAGAGTTGCCAGACAGTCATGTACCTGCAGGGACTCAGAAAGTTTCATTTGTATCTGGACCAGTTGACCAGAAGTCTGGAATTTCTCACCCATATGTTGAGATTCCCTGTGTTTTCTATCAGCAGGAGTTGCCAGGTAGTCATTCAACAGAAAAATCTACAAAAACATTGATCCTGAGGCCAGCTGTACAGAAGACTGATCTGTCAACAGTATCCCCTGCTTCCCCATCACTTGCAGAAAAGCCTGTTTTGCCCTACCAGCCAACCCCTCCAGGTAGTCAGCTCTCTGGAATATCAACTATAACCTCTGCCTCCTACTCTTATAAAGAGAGGCCCAATATCTCTCAGCAGCAGAAGTTTCCGGACAGCTACCTAAGTGAAGAGGCCCGGAAAGTCTTGAGTACCACTGGATCAGTAGACCAGAAGACAGGGACCCCAACAATGTCATTGCCCTCTATTTATTCACAAAAAGAGGGGCTTGGTATTTTCTATCAACAAGTCTTGCCAGATCCTCTATATAAAGGGGCTCTACAAACTTCAGCTACTACTAGTACAGTTGACCAAAGCATTGCTATGCCAACTGTATCCTGTACTTCGTTCTTACAAAGAGAGCAGCCTCAGATTTTCTACCAGCAGGCTCCGCCAGGTGGTCATTTGCCTGGAGAGTCTCTGAAAGTTTCATCTGCTCCTGGACCGCCTGACCAGAACACTGGGGCACCAGCAGTATCTCCTAGTTCTTATTTCCCTAGAGAGGAGTCCATTATTTTTCACCAACCTGGCTTGTCAGGTAACCCTCTATCTGCAGAGTGTTTCAAGGTTCCAGGGATTTCTGGAGTAACTGAACAGAAGACTAGCACACCAGCGGGACCATCAGGTTCCTATCCAGTTAGAGAGAAATCCATTATTTTCTACCAACAGACCTTGCCAGATGCTCATTTTTCTAAAGAAGCTTTGGATGTTTTAACTTCTTCTGGACCAGCTGACCTGAAGACTGGGGCGCCACCAGTATATTCGACTCCCTATTCTTTTGGAGAAAAGCCCATTATTTTCTATCAGCAGGCCTTGTCAGATGATCAGCTAACTAAAAAAGACAGCAAAGTTTCAGTTGTTTCTGGGCCAGCTGACCAGAAGGCTGGGCTACCTCTTACCATCTCTTCTTACTCAAATCTAGAGAATACCGTTGTTTCTTACCACCAAGAGTTGCCAGATAGGCCTCTAACTGAAAACGCTGGGAAAGTTTCAGTTGTTCCTGGACCAACTGACCAGAAGACTGGGATATCAACCGTGCCTTCTACTTCCCACTCAAAAATAGAGAGGCCTACTTCTTCTTACCAGCAAGAGTTTCCAGATCTTACTGAAAAAGCTTTGGAAGTTTTAGGTGGTACTGAACCTATTGAACAGAAAACTGAAATACAAGCAGTGTCCTCTACTCCCTTTTACAGAGAGACGCCTAGTGTTTCTTATCAGCAGGACTTGCCAGATCTTACTGAAGAAGCTTTGCAAATTTTAGCTGATCCTGGAGTAGTACCTTCTATCCCTTACTCAAAGGATGCAACGCCCCTCATCTCTTACCAGCAAGAGTCACCAGATCTTACTGAAAAGTCTTTGAAGGCAGTAGGACCTGGCTCTACTGATCAGAAGACTCGGGCACAAAAAGTTTCCTACTTAAGTAGAGAGCAGCCCAGTGATTTTCAACAGGAATTGCCAAATACTGGTGAGGATGCTTTAGGTGGTTTTGTTCATCCCGGACCATTTGTCCAGAAGGTTGGGAAAACAACAGAACCTTCAAATTTAAAACAGAGAGAGGCCAATGTTTTCTCTCCACAGGAGTTGCCAGTCAGCCATCTCACAGAAGAGGGCCTGAAAGTGTCAGCTGGTTCTACACTTAAAGCACAGACACCTGGGGCTCCAACAGGGCCTTCTAGTTCCTACTTACATAGAGAAAAGTTGAAAGCCTCACCAGATCATGTTCTAACTGAAAATTCTCTGAAGGCTTCAACTGTTCCTGGATTATCTGACCAGAATAGAAGACCCACAGTCTCATCTGGCTCCTACTCACATAAGGAGAAACATAAGATTTCAGCTGCAGATCTGCGGGATGACAAGAAGGTTGAGTTGCCAACAGTTACTCATAAGTCCTACCTACATAGAGAGAAGCCTGCAGTTTCATCTGTGATTGGACCAGATGATCAAAAGACTCCATTACCAACAGCTTTTCATGGTTCCTGTCCTCAAAAAGTAAAACCTGCTATTTGTGTTCAAAAGCAGTTAACAGATAGAGATCAAAGTGAAGATATTCCGAAGATTTCAACTGTCTTAGAACCAACTGTTGTAAGCACAGGTGTACCAGTACCTCTGCCTGGTTCTTATTCACACAGAGAGAAATTGGATACATCCTGTGGATACCCACAGGAACTGCCAGACAGACATCTAACTGAAGATGCTCTGAAGGTTTCAAGTTGTCTTGGTCAAGCTGACCAGATTTCTGATTTACCTACAGCTTCTCCTGGTACTTATTCACACAGTGAAAAGCACCAACTTGTCTCAGAACATGCCCAAAAGCTGATAGATGATTTGAATTCTTCTGAGTCTTGTTCTCTCATTGCAAACAGTATGCCTTTAAATTCTCAGATTGATGATGGACTTATCATATGTAAGCCAGAATCTTCAGGTTTTGGTGATGTTGTCTGTGAGGAAATCCGGGATATAGATCATGGTTCTAAAACTCTTAAAGAAATTCAGACTCTTTTAATGGAGGCAGAAAATATAGCACTGAAACGATGCAATTTCCCTTCTCCCTTGATTCCTTTCAGAGATGTTAACGATGTTTCACTTATACAGTCAAAGAAGATGGTTTGCTTCAGAGACCCCTCCACAACTGATGTTTATGCCCAGAGGGAGCCACTTCCAGAGGAGATCCCTCACATCGAGTGTGTACAGAAGGACATTGGCACACAGACAAACTTCAGGGGCCACAGGGGTGTTGAAAATTGGAAGTTTATTCGTTCAACTACGATTAGAAGTCCTCTACAGGAAGCAGAAGGCCCGAGAGTGGCATTTGATGGAACTTTCAGGCAGATGGAAGCTTCCGGGTCTGTACTGAGGTCTGAACCTGAAGGTTGCAGTACAAGCATTGGGAATAAAATTCTTATCCCTATGATGACATTCATAAGGAGTGACTCGAGCAGTGATGTAAGTGACGGCTGCTGCTCGTGGGACAGTAATTTACCCGAGTCTTTGGAGTCAGTTTCTGATGTTTTTCTAAACTTCTTTCCATATACTTCACCCAAGACAAGCATCACAGATAGCCGCGAAGAGGAGGGCTTGTCAGAGAGTGAGGATGGCTGTGGTAGTGTAGATTCGCTGGCTGCACATGTGAAGTACCTTCTGCAGTGTGAATCCTCATTGAATCAAGCTAAACAGATACTTAAAAAGGCAGAGGAAGAGGAGTGTCGGGTCCGAGCCCAAGGTAAGGACTGACTTATACAGGCACACGCAGGCTTGTGAACGTTACAGCTTAGCAGTTTAAAATGAGACATTTGAATTTCTAAATTTATTTTCTTATAGAACTATAGAATGACTATATTTTCTACCTAAAATCCGGAAAACAAAAGCAAAGATATAAATAAGTTGTATGATCAGTAGTGCTAGTCTGAGCTTCTGGTTTTAGAAGGAGATTCTCATGTCAGATGGACATTGAGAAAGTAGTTTGAGCTTCCTTAATTCTTTCGTTGTAATATCCTTGTTTTGGGAACACAGATGCCTCCAATTTGCTCTTCTGTAAATTATTTTGTGTCCTTCAACTATGTGTGCTTTCTCTTTGTTTTCTGATGAAATTTTTGGAGGTGATCTAAGGTGTATGGGAAAACCACTTATCAAGGTCTTAGTACTAAAATTTTGGTTAGACGTCTAAAAGAGGATATTTATTAACTTCATTTATCTCTAACAGTATCTTTGTAATGTACATAACAATCTTTAAGGCATGAGGAAATGTTTTGGGTAGTAACTTGTAAGTAGCTCGTAAGCACTAACTTCAAGACTGACTCGGAATCTTGATGTTAACTGACTGTGCTGTTCCTTGTACATTTTGATTCTGTCAAGATCTCTCTAGTTTTGTTTATTAATATAAAGTATTAGGTATCATAGAAGCATTAGTAACTATAGCAGATACTAAGAGGGGAGGTAAAGAGACTCTGATTATAAGAAAAATTAAGATTAATGATTTAAGTTTAAATACCACATTTAGAGTGGCGTTTTTGGAGGTACGTCTGTGGAGGATGTTTTCCAAAACTCAGACTTTAGTTCATGTGTGATGGCACACACCTGTAATCCTTGCACTTGGAGGCCAAGGCACACAGATCAGAGTTCAGGGTTACCCTGGATTACATAGAAATACCCTGCTTTGGAAGGTCGGTAGCCTTTAGTATGTCACATACAAGAGCTTTTGATATGTCACATACTTAAGACCACATGTGTTCAGCTCTGTGCTGGGCAGTAAGGGGCAGATGTTGCTGGTTTTCTTGGCTCATGTAGTCATTGAAAATTAGCAGTTTCACAATTTTTAAATATCAACTTTTTATGATTTTTTTTCTCTCCAGCCTGGAATCTAAAGTTTAATTTAGGACATGACTATGGATACTCCATTTCAGAATTAAATGAAGATGACAGGAGGAAAGTAGAAGAGATAAAGGCGAAGTTGTTTGGTCATGGAAGAGCAACTCGCATATCTGAGGTATTGAAGAAACCTATAAATGACTACTGAAACTGTGAAGGAGCAGTAGAGATTAGAGCTCTTACTTGGTATCAGTGACTCCAGAGTAGTTGCTGACAATCTTGGGATAAAGTTTTTTTAGTCTTAAATGCTCTAAAAATTAAGATTGAAGGACTAGTGTTTGTAAGTTTTGATTAATTCCAAGTTATCATAGCAGTAAAACAAGAATTGAGTTGTTTTGCTAATTTGATTGTTTTGTTTCGTTTGATTATTCAAGACAGGGTTTCTCTGTGTAGTCTGCACTGTCCTAGAACTCACTCTATAGACCAGGCTGGCCTCGAACTCAGAGACCCATCTGCCTCTGCCTCTTGAGTACTAGGATTAAAGGCGTGTGCCACCTCTGCCAAGCTTGCCAATGTATTTTTACAACTGAGAGGTTAAATGTCTCTTTTACATCTTGCAGTTCAGATGAAAACTCAGTTTCAAAAGTATATATTTTGTTTAAAAATAAAGTTAGTTTTATCTAAAACAGCTTTCTTTTTAAGTGTTTATTTTCTTTCGTTAGTGAACTGTTTCTTGAACAGAGCACTTATCTAAAGAGAAGTTTATTCCTGTGTTTACAGTCCAACTCTGGAAAGAGAACATTAACAGATGCCATTTGAGCTGGGCATGTGTACTTTAACCCCCAGTATTGGGGAAGCTAAGGCCAGAGATGGCAAGTTCAAGGTTATTTAGCAAGATTGTTTCTCAAAAACTAAACCAAAACCAAACCAACACCTTCCCACCCCTGACAAATGCCATTGAAATGTTTTGGATCGCCTTTCCTAGTTTTGTCTTTATTTCTTACCCTGACATGCACTGACTCTCTGCTCTTCAGTGTGGGTTTGAATTAAGAATCAGCACGATATGGGCCTGGAGAAATGCCTCAGTGGTGAAGAGCATTTGTTGTTTTCCTTGAAGAGGACCAGGGTTCAGTTCCCAGCACCCACATTGTAGTTCACAACTCTCTGTAACTCCAGTTCCAAGGGGTCTGACACTGTCTTCTGGCCTCAAGTCACCAGGCATACATGTGGTATACCTACATACATGCAGGCAAAACACTGATATTCATATAAAGAAAGGAATCTGCATATATATATCCATTCTTTGAGTGGTAAGGTTCCATTTTGTACATATTCCACATTGTTTTCTTCATCATCCCTATTGGACACTTAGTTTGATACCATGCCTCGGCTACTAACTTTTTAAGCCTTTTAAAAGAGATCCTCTTACGTATCTATTAATATGTTGACTTATTGTAATATTTTAGCAAGAGTTGTTTAAAAATAATGTTTGACAGGTACTAAAGTGTTGGAGGAGGGCTGCATGTTCATCCTGGCCGCCCAGAACTGAAATAATCACACAGAAACTGTATTAGTTAAATCACTGCTTGGCCCATTAGCTCTAGTTTCTTATTGGCTAATTCTTACATCTTAATTTAACCCATTTTTATTAATCTGTATATAACCACGAGGTTGTGGCCTACCAGCAAAGTTTTGGCATGTCTGACTCTGCCTTCCTTCTCCCAACATCCAGTACAACCCTCCCACCATCTACCTAAGTTCTGCCCTATCAACAGGCCAAGGCAACACATAGACAGAAGGACCTTCCACACCACTAAAGCAATAAGAATTTAGAAAAAAATTGCATATATTCATTTTGTGGGGAGGGTACCACACCACGGTCAGAGGACAACTTGCAAAAGTCTGTTCTTTCTCCCACCATGTGAATTCTGGGGATTGAACTTAGTCAGGCTTGACATACTGGGTCATCTTGCCATCCCAAAATCTAAAAAGTTTTAAAGTGGGAAGATCATTTAAATTTTGATTTATTAAAACTTGAAAGATGCTACAGGAAAGGTAGGCCATGGAGTGGTTCATAGAAAGAAGTCACAGGAGAAAGTAGGCTACACAGTTTAGGTAAGTATCAATCTAATCCCTTCCAGTTTTAAACTGGAGGAAACTTGGATTTCTTAAGTTAGGACATTTGTTTCCTAGTGATGTGTCAGATTAAAAAATGGCAACTTGGTATACTTAATTGATTTTTTTTTTAAAGTCAAATCTTTTAAATTGTATCACATGAAGCTAAAAAAGTGGTCTGAAGAGAGGGTATGTGTGTATGTGTCCTGCTTCCAGCTTCTTCAGTGATCATATCTTGCAAAACCTTTTTTTTTTTCCTTTGTGATTTGAGACAGGATCTGATTGTTCTTGGAACTTACCCTATAGACTCACAGGGATCTGCCTGTCTGTCTCTGCCTCTCAAGTTCTGGGATTAAAGTCATGTACCTTTAAAAACATGTGCCAATGTTTTGCAGACTTTTAATGATCTCAGCTATGACATTGACTTTAATACAGTCAGGATACTGAAAACAAAACTAGCTAAGGCTGCCTTGTCATAGCTACTTTTTCTGTAACACTTACCAACCACTAGACTAGTCCCTATTTTTATATTTTGTAATATCAAGAATGTCATAAAAATGAATTCATTTTTGTATTCAGGATAACTGAAATATTTGAATTAAGAGTAATTCTTTAGAAACTTAGGGAGGTATTACTTTTATCAATAACTTTCCCTTTGTATTGCTTTGGATGCCCCGCAGTATGTTTAAATATTCACCTGTGAAGAACATTTTAGGGGGTTGGAGAGATGACTCAGCGGTTCAGAGCACTGGATTTTCTCCCAGAGGACCCGGGTTCAATTTCTCTCATCCACATGACAGCTTACAACTGTCTGTAACTCCAGTTCCAAGTGATCCAACACCCTCACGCAGACATACATGGAGACAAAACATCAATATACATAAAATAAAAATAAATAAATACTTTAAAAAAGAACATTTTAGTGGTTTTTCGATCTTGGGCTTTATAAACAAAAGTTGCCACGCATCCATGTTCCTTTGTGTGGGAACATGCATTTGTTTCTGTGGTGTCAGTGTTCAGGAGTTCAATTTGGGTTATTTGGTGAGCATATTGTTTAAAGATAAGTGATTCACTTACCCCGCATCCTCTGCAGCATTTGGTATTGTTTTTTTTAGCCATTCTGTTAGTTTTGTCAGGAAACGTAAGATACAGTACACACACACACACACACACACAATTTTTGTTTATGTGCGTGTGTGTGTGGTGCATATTTATGTGTACATGCAGGTGCCCATGGAAGCTTGGGGGTATTGTATCCCCTGGAGCTGGACTAATAATGGTTGCTGGGAACTGAGCTTGGGCCCTCTGCCAGAGCAGTAAGTGCTCTTCACCCCTGAACCATCTCTCCAGCCCTTAGAAAGACACTGTGCTGTGTTTTTGTTTGTTTGCTTGGAGACAGGGTTTCACTAAGAAGTAGCTCTGGCTGTCCTGGAACAGTGAGGCCAGCCTTGAACTTGCAGAGATCTGCCTGCCCTTGCTTCCCAAGTATTTATTGTAGTTGTAGTTTACGTTTTCCTAATGTTTTTTGATATTGAACATTCTTTTCATTTTCTTATTTCTCTCATCTTTTTTTATGTCCTGTTTATTGACATATCTATGTGTCCTTTTTTGTTGTTTGTTTGTTTGCATGTGTGTTATTCTGGGAATCAAACTCATACCATCATTCATGGTAGGGAAACACTTTACCATTGACACTCACAGTCCCACTGCTGAATTTTGAGTTTTGTTTTTTTGCTTTTTGTTTTGTTTTGGTGTGTGTATGTGTGTGTTTTCTTTTTCAAGATTTACTTATTTACTTCTACTGTTACTGTTTTTTTGACACAGGTTTTTCTGCATTGCCCTGGCTGTCCTGGAACTTGTTCTGTAGACTAGAATGGCCTCGAACTCAGAGATTCCTCTGCCTCCCAAGTGCTGGAATTAAAGGCATGCACTGCTACACCCCAATATATTTAGTATTTTTAAACAATGTATAAATGTGTGTGTGTGCACGCATGTAGACATGTGTACATGGATGCAGGTGTCCTTGGAGGCCAGAGGCATTGAATCCTCAGAGCTGAAGTTACAGATTGTTGTGACCAGCCTGATGTGGGTGTTGGGAACTGAACATGGGTCCTCTGGAAGAACAGCTAGTGCTCTTAACCACGGAGCCATTTCTCCAGCCCCAAGAATAATAATTTTAAGAGTTTCCTAAGTCCTCTTCATTATCATGAGCTATTTTATCCTGTAAAGTTTCATTTTTCTTGCTGATCCTTTGACCTGTCTTGTAGACAAATAAGATGACCTTCATGGTCATTTTTAGCTTAGATATGAAACTCATCAGTATATAATTTTGAACCACTTTAAGTAGGAACCTTTTTATATCTTCTAGGGCTTGCAGAGTCCACGGGGAATAGGATGTGTGCCTGAAGCTGTATGCAATCACATTGTTATTGAGAGTCATGAGAAAGGATGTTTCCGGACTCTTACTGCTGAGCGACCACGACCAGACAGCTGCCACGGTGTTTCCCGATCTGTTGAACCTTCAGATTTGATTAGAGGACAACGGAGCCCATCATCAAGGAGAGGCAGGCACATCAACCTTTCCAGATCAGTAGATCAGAGCAATACCCGTTTCAAAGTTTGGAATTCCTTACAGTTACAGAGTCATCCCCCATTTCAAAAACTTGCACCCGATGACATCAAAATTAGCAAGGGTGTTGGAATGCCATTCCATACAAACATGGACCCTCAGCCTTTGGGATTAGTAGAGCCTACTTGTGTGCCAGCTAAAGGAATGGATTTTCTTTCCTCATCACAAATACTGCCCCCTGAACCCACGGAGCAGTTCACTACCTCTATCACTTTTTCTTCTCACGAACACTCTAAATACATTTCTGATTCCTCTGTTTTTAAGGTTGGTGTTACTGAAGGTAGCCAGTATACTGGACCATCTTTAGGAGTGTTTAAGTCTCATATCTCTGAAGAGCAGATTTCTCTTAGAGATCTTAAACAGAAAACCTCTTCCCCTTCATCACTTAAAAGGCATAGTCATTCACCAGTGACTGTTTTAGCGGAAGGTAGTAAGCAAAGGCAAAAATTACTTCTTGATTCCCAGCATTCTCATCAAAACCAAAAAATCTCAGAAAGATCAGAGTTTAAAGCCAGTCCTTCTGAACCCAGTGTCAGTCCAAACTATAGCACTTTCAAGGGAGCTCAGTTTTTTGGTAAGGATACCATTATTAACCCAGACGAACTAAATACTACACTCGATGTAAAAGAAAAGAATGTAGCTGTAGCTCCTGATCTACCTTCTTGCATTTTCCTTGAACAACGAGAGCTCTTTAAACAAAGCCACACTCCACATACAGATCACCAGATGAGGAAATACTCTTCTCCATTTTGTCCAGACATTGCTTCTTGCATTTTTCTTGAACAGAAAGAACTCTTTGAGCAAAACCAAGCCCCACATGTAGATCGTGAAAACAGAGAAGATCCTAAGTGCCAGGATTATATAATTGCAGATCTTCCTTCTCCCGATTTTCTTGATGAGCAGCGATGCAAATCCCCAGATGTAGATGACCACATGAGAAAACAGCAGTTCCCTCTTTCTCAAGGTCAGGATTGGGTAGTAGAAAAGATTCAGCATATACCTCAGTCACAGTTTTCTAATACGATAAATGTTGAAGCCAAGGTCAGTAATTTGATCTCCCAGTCAGCCCCTGACCACTGTACATCTCCATCTATTCCACCTCCAAATAGGAAAGCACTTTCATGTCTTCGTATAACTCTTTGTCCCAAGACTTCTTCCAAGTTGGATAGTGGAACCTTAGATGAAAGGTTTCATTCATTGGATCCTGCTTCTAAAACAAGAATTAATAGTGAGTTTGACTTTGATCTTCGAACTGTATCTTCAAGGTCATTGAAACCAACCTCCAAATTACTGACCTGTAAACCTGTAGTACAGGATCAAGAATCTTTAGGTTTTCTAGGACATAACTCTCCACTGGACTTGCAAGTTGCACAGTCTTCTCTTCCAGATAGTGAGACTATTTCTCAGAACTTGAAAACCAAACCTACTCAGAATAGCCAGATAGTAACGTCAAGGCAAACACAAGCGAACATTTCAGATTTGGAAGAATTTTCCAAACCAGAGGGGACTCCAGTATCTGCAGATGGGTGAGTTGCTGTGATAAGAAACAAACTGATGGAATGTATAACAAAGGATTTAAAATAAGTAAATGGAAAGACTGTAGGGTGGGAGTGAGGGCAGAGAGCAATGTGATTTCCTTACAGAAGATTGAATCTAACTGGTCTGATAGAAGTCTTTTTTAAAAGGTATGTAAGTAAGTGAACATGTGAAGTAACATGTGAAGAGCGTTTTGCAAGATTTGACATTAGATAGAAGAAATCTAAAACTTTGGTTATCCGTTGGTCCAATTGACTTATTTTTATGTTGGAGATGCACTGATGATTTCCTGGGCGGTTGAAACATAAATGAGGAAAGATTTATTTTGGTCATGGTTTTAGACCATGGCTTTAGAGCTTGCTTCATCATCATAGATGGCATAAGGGGATGAGGTGGAGGAGCCGCCAAGAAAATGCCCCCAGTGATGTAATTTCTCCAACTATTCTCCATGTTGGACAGTTCTGCCATCTCACAGTAGTCTGTTCATATTTTGAGTCCATCAGTAGTTTGAACTATTCCTAGATCATAGTTGTCATGATCTAATTAGTTCTGCGAATACCCTCAGTCATTTCTCAATCCAGTTAAGTTCACAGTCATGACTAACCATATTTCTGCTTGCACGCTCTCTTTGCTTGTATTTCTCTTCTCCCTTTCTTGCTATGAGATCTCTATTATATTTAGTACTTACAAGAGAATTTTAAAAAAATGCCTCATGACTTTATAGTATTAAGTCACCTAGCATATAAGCATTTTAGCCAACCCAACAGTAAAAAATATCATAATGTTTCTGGATGTGAAGTTTCTCTTACCTTGTGTTGTAGGAATGGAAACTTAATTCATGAATAGGTTAATTAGGTTTGTCTTACTCGGCTTAATATTAGTAATTCATCACTGATTTAGTTTTCCCTTCATAAGTCTTTATGGCTAACGATTTTGTGTTAATAGTTGAGAAGGTAGCATACTATAGTGGAAAACCCAAGAAGGAAAGTATATCAAAATATACTGGCATAAGTGACATTGATATACAGTCTTATTTAGTTTTCATGACAACTTGATTCTGTGATTGACTGGGAAACCAAGGCATTGTTCCGTGTGCAAATGATGCTGGTGGGAAGAATGGCGCAGTGACAGCTATTGAAACAGAGCAAGAATCTACTTCCCTACGTAGTTGGGTCTTGCACATTCTTGAACACTTCTTAACATTTCTTGTGGATGAACTTTCCTTTCATCTACATTTTTTTTCAATTTAATTTAATTCACACTTCTGAGGAAAGGGTTGAGAAGCTAAAAGCCCTTTACAAAGCTGAAGTGATTAAGAACTGGATTTGGTGGATGGATCTAGAAAAAACTATATTATGTGAGATAATTTAGACCCAGAAAGACAAATATGTATTCACTCATAAGTAGCTTTCAGACATAAAGCAAAGAAAAACCAACCTACATTCCACAACCTCAGAGAACCTAGGCAACAAAGAGGACCCTAGGAGAGACAGACATACATGGGTCACAGTATCTGGCAGTAGGAAGATGGATTCATACTTAAAATTTGGTTCTCATTACATCAAGAGAATTTGAAAGGAAGTTTATCATTCACACAAAAATATCTCAGGGAGGTCTGGCCCTAATAGGTCTGGACTAGCTTGAACAAAGCATACAAGGTGAGTTGGGCTCATGGTAGCTGGAGCAGAAGACATGCATGAGGGCTTAAGCTTCCTGCTGGGACCAAAGGAAGCACAGACTTTCTTGCCAACCCCTCCAGCTAAGGAATCAAAGTGGGGAAGGAGGGAAAAATCTTGAAAAGAAGTTGGTGATTGAACACCAGAAATGGAGGGAAACCATTATTGTGGTTGTAGAGATTACTATCGACATCCTTAATTTATTATATCCTATATTAATATAGTTGCCTGATATTTAAAGATTTTTCAGCTCATGAGAAGTATTCACTTGTAATCTTCCAGGCTTGCACTGACTTCCTGAAAGTATTGGTAATCTGTGAAGATTTGGAGATAGGTTTGTACAGTCAGTAGAATTCATCAATGAAATTGTCATAGATGGGAGTTTTTATTACTGGTTCAACTTATTTAATGCATATGATCGTACACAGATTTTTTTTCTGTTGTCAGTTTTGAAAAAATACTTTTTAAAAATTTTGTCTTATTTTAAGTTGTCATGGTGATAAACTGTTGTGGTATTAGGTTTTTGATTTCTGATATTGGTAATCTGATCATTCTTGTTAAAACTTTTAAAATATGAGTTTTGGTAAGCCTCTGTATTGTGTTTTTTCACTTTTGTTAATTTCTTTTATCTTTTATTTTGCATATTAATTTGTTTTTCTACCTTCTTGAAAGTAAATGTTTATTTTTAATGCATTCATCCTTTTTAGTTAATTTTTAGCTTTTTTTCTAATATGTTTATAGAGAGTTTTTATGTAGTTTTCAGTTTTTTTTCCTTGTCCCATTGACTAGTGCTGTGTATTTCTTAACTGCATTGTGGCCACGGTGATTACTTTTAATGGTTTCACTATATTTAGGCATTCAGAATTGCTTAGTGATATTTTTATTTTGACCAATGTGTGGTTGAAAGATGTGTGTTCTGCTGTTGCTGTGTGGGTGGAGAACAATGTGGTATAGCTGGTCAGGTGTGCTGTTGAATCTTTCCTTTTTCTGTGTTTGGCTGCTTGTTAATCAGATGAGAGAGGAGCATCTTACATGGTAACCTGCAGTCACACTTTCAGGTATGGGTTTCTTATGTTTCTCCTTTCTTTTGATTTTATTTTTAATTTTTTTGGAGTAAGTTCTTCTACTTTGTCATTTGGGAAGGAGTTACTGACCTGCCCCATCGCTTAATATGGCACATTCCTATTTCCTAAACGCTCTCCTGTGTGACAACAGTGAAAGCATCCAGGTCAGGAAATTGGTATTGCTTCATTACAGGTGTCTATTTCTCCTAGTGTCTTTTATAGCAAAGCAAACATTTCAGGATTGCATATTGTATTAGTTATTATACATGTTTTATATTTTTCCTTTGAAGTTGTTTCTTCAGTGGTTTCTTTTGTTTTTGAGTATTTTGAGACAGGGCCTCTCTAAATAATAGCACAGGCTGACCTGAAACTGACTACGAAGACCAGGCTGGCCTGGGACACACAGAGATCTGTCTGCCTCTGCCTCCCCAGTGTTGGGATTAAAGGCCTGCTCTACCACATCCAGCTTTGGTACTTTCTTGATGTTCATAACCTTGACACTTTGAAGATTTTATGAAACAATTATTTTGTGAAAAGTTTGAGTTTTATGATGATTGCATGTCTGTAATTATGTCACACAAATTATATTGACCTACTTTATTACATCCTGTCACGTTGCACAGTTTTGATTTGTCCCAAGGTTGGAAACCATCACTTTAATTGCTTAGTAAGGTTGTGGTATTTACATGTTACCATTGGAAAGTTACTCTTTCCTCCTATGTAACTGAATATTTTACGTGAGTTATTTTGAAATTATGTAAATACTGTTTAGCAAATTTAGTTTATTATTTATACCTATACCGAATCATGCTTTCTTACTGAGTGGTTTATAATTTACTATTTTTATTTTTATTTCCTTCTGCTTTTATTTCGAGACAAGTGTTGTTCTGACTGTTCTAGAGTTTACTGTGTAGACCGCGCTGGTCTTTAGCCCATAGAGATCTCTCTGCCTCTGCCTCCAGAGAGCTGGAATTAGAGGTGTGCACCACTACTCCTGGCCCGTTTTTGTTCTTGGTATAGAATCTTTGTAGTTCAGGCCAGTTCAAACTTGTAATCATAGTGCCTCACATATTGGGGTGACAGTTGTGCCATGAGCTCTGGCCATTGCTGCTGTTTTGCTTTTTCATTTTTATTCAAAATATACACAGACTATCAGATAAGCACAAAATAAGTCAAGAAAACGGAATGTGGTGGCCCAGGCCTATAATTCTAGCATTCAAGAGTCCAAGTAGGATTGTCATGAATTCCAAGCCAATTTGGTTTGTGTACTGAGTTACAGAGTAAAACTCTTTGAAAGAAACCAAAATAAATAGTAACTAGATTAAAAAAAAAGTTCTGAACTGTCCTAAGTATCTATTACTCAGTTTTCGTGCTGGTAGTATCTTACATAATTGAAGAGTATTATTAAAACCAATAAATTGACTTAACCAAGATACATTTATCAGACTACAAACCTTAACCAGATCTTGCCTTTAAAAAAAAAGTCCTCAGTGTTTTGTTTTGTTTAAGGTATATGTGTTTAAATCTATGAAATTTGTTGACATGTACAGATTTCTGTAACTACCATCTACGTGCTCCAGAAGTGAAAATGTGGTTCCCTGTGCTGCCACTCCATGTTCCTTCTCTCCCCTCCCAGTCCTCCTTAGCTCTGTCAGGTGACCCGTTTCCTGTGACTGCTATTCAGTAGCTGTTCTCTCTCTTTCTCCCTTCTTCTTTTCCTGTTCTTAATGTCTGAGGTCAAACTAAAAGCCTTGGTCATTCTAAGCAAGCACTTTACCAGTGAACCAGTGACCAACACTCCCCAGGTTTCTTTTAACAAAAATTAACAATACTGTGTTCTATTTAAACTAATACATCTCAAATATTTTAACGTGCTATCAATAAAGTTATCTCTTTACATGCAGTCTCAAATAGGCTTACGACCTCAGGTGACTTTTGTTTAAATATTTTTATTTATTGTGTGTGAATGTTTTGTATACATGTATGTCTGTTTGCCACATGTATGCCGGTGCTTGGGAAGGTAGAAGAGGACTTTGGATCCCCGGAACAGGAGGTACAGGTGGTTTGGGGCTACCATGTGGATGCTGGGAATTGAACCTTGGTATTTTGCAAAAATAGCTAGGCTCTTAACCATTAAACCGTCTTTCCAGCCCTGACTTCAGATGATTTTTAGTGTTCCTAATCATGTGCAAACAGTGCTCCCCCTCCTTTCATAGTGATAGAAATCAAACCCAGGGCCATGTGCTAGGC